GGAGCTGAGAGTCATGTTGAGTGGACTGGTGAACCACTCAGTACTGGAGGATGCGCTGCCAGCTTGGCCTGTCTTGGATTTATCCCCATCACAGAATTGGGTCTTATTGAAGAAGCACAAACTGATTTTAATATTAGCCTGTACTAATTGGTGACTGATACATTTTACAGCTGAAAAAATTTCTATGCATGGATTTGTCACCCATTTCAAAGTTAAAGTGTATAGATTTATGTGTTGTTTTGAGCCATCGGTTCCACTACCTTTTTTATTGTTTCAGGTAAAATGACACTGAGTTTATCTGAGCTCTGATCATTTGAACAAATTCTACTATGATTTTTCTATCATTTTTCAGGGTTTTGGGAGAAAGGTGGTTAAATGGAGGAAAAGGGAAACACTCATTTTCCTGCTTAATTTCAGGGCATTTGGGAGGAAAAATATATATTCACCACATTTTTTTAAGATTTTATATTTATTTATCTGACAGACAGAGATCACAAGTAGGCAGAGAGGAAGGCAAAGAGAGAGGAAGGGAAGCAGGCTCCCTGCCGAGCAGAGAGCTCCATTCGATTCCGGGCTTGATCCCAGAACCCTGGGATCATGACCTGAGCCAAAGGCAGAGGCTTCAACCCACTGAGCCACCCAGGCGCCCCTATATTTACCACTTTGATAGGTAAAAATACACTATAATAATTGAAACAACGAGATGTTCTTCATCTGTTCAATTGCCAAGGATTACAAAAGAAGAGAAATGCCCAGGATTGGTGAGGGTTCAGAGAAATAGCCCCTTCATAGCTTGCTGGTGGGAAAGTAACTGGTATAAACTTCCTGAAAGACAACTTGCCAATATATATGGAATATTTAAAAATGTGCATGACCTTTGACCAAGGAATTGTGTTTCTAGAAATACTAGGAAATAATCATAGCATATATAAACATTTATATATGTGGATAATCTTTGAAGTTACATATATAATGGAAAATTGGAAATAATCTTTATGACTAAAAAGAAAATCTTGGTTAAATAACTTAAAGTATACCCATTTAAAGTGCAGTCACTTAAAGTCATGTATTAGAATAATATTTATTGGAATGGGAAAATTCCTAGACTATTGTTATGGAGAAAGTAGACTGCAGAGCAGTTTGATTAAATTTTGTTTAAAAGATACATACAAAAAAGACATGCACACATACACAAAGAAAATACAGGAAAAATACATGGAAATAGTAACAGTGATAAGCTGTTAAGGGTAATGAGTAATTTTAATTTTTTGTAAGTCTCTATTAAAAGTTTTTAAACAATGAACATGTATTACTATTGAAATCAGAATTTTTTCTTTTCTTAAAAGTAAGACAGAATTTTTAAAAAAGTAAGACAGAATACACCATAATTCTTTGGACAAATCATGGGTTGATATTATCCCCCCTACTGTTTGGTACATGTCCTGTTATTTCTGGGTACCCTCCATTTTTCCACCTTCCTCCCCAATACAGATGCCATCTCCCCCACTCTACCCTCTCCCAGAAGCCTGCCCAGTGCTCTTCATCCTACTCTAAAGGACATGCTTTCTGACATGAGCTTGCAGTCAGCCTGGGAATGGAATCCTGTCACAGACTTTGAGGAGTTTGGGCTGACCCATTCCTCACGAAATGAATTTGATGTTTATCACCCTCTCCACTTGGAGAGTACAGCTTCATTTGCGATCAGTCAGGATAACCCCACACAACCTGACAGTCCTTTGCTCATGGTAGGTGCCCACTAAATGTTAGAGTGCATAAAGGAAACACTTAGATAAACAGAGGCTTTTTTAAAAAAAAGATTTTATTTATTTATTTATTTGACAGAGATCACAATTAGGCAGAGAGGCAGGCAGAGAGAGGAGGGAAGCAGGCTCCCCGATGCGGGGCTCGATCCCAGGACCCTGAGATTATGACCTGAGCCGAAGGCAGAGGCTTAACCCACTGAGCCACCCAGGCGCCCCTAAATAGAGGCATTTTTGAGCTCTCTGGGGATAATACAAGACAGGAGAGCGGTGGGAGTGAAAATTAACTGGACTGACTAGTCCTGGGCCAGGCAGAGATTGAAACAGAAGTATTGCCTTCAGAATTATCAGGCTTAGTCTTCTTAATGACATTAAAAGTTTATTGGCTCCCACATCATTTTGCCAGGTTGTTCACCCCTGTGAGGATTTCTGCAGTTTAAAAAGAATGAGATCATTAGCCCAGCTTACATTCTCAGGGCTGTGTTACAAGTGTCAGAGGAGCAGGGTACTTTTCTAAACAGCAACTAGGAAACTTCCCAGAATCTGTGAGCAGCAGCAGCCCTGCACATAGAAATCCCTTCCTCCTGGGTGCAGGGCTGATTGTATCTCCAGGTACTTCAGGCAGTGTTGGGGGTTGCGGGCAGTTTTTGTTGCCCTTTGCTACTGAGTTTGCCAGGTGTGTCAAAAACATAATCTCAGAGACAGAATATAAACACGACAGTAGAGAGAAAAGCTTAGTGCCTCTCACTCCTTGTAGAAGCCTTCCTTGACTTGTTTTCGCCCACTGTCAGCACTGGTGCCCTTCTCCCTGGATTCCATGCTGGGGGGGGGGGTGCTGTTATTTGTTCCCGTGTTGCTTATAATTGCTCTCTACTGGTTACATGTGAAAAAATTGTGTTCACCCAGGGAGCAGGGATTTCAGTGGGGAGAAAATGACAACTTGGAAAACCATACTTCATTATTGAACACTCTTGTCACCATAATTAAACTGGTCAGCATTTCTGAGCTGTAGTTCTTTCCTCACTGCAGACAAACTGCTCATAACCTTCCTGACATGGTTATTTTGAGGCTGAAATGGTATTATAGGTATAGACATGTAAAAAATGATATAAGTGTATGACATTATCTTTTGAATGGAATGCTGTAGCTTCTTAAGAAATAGGAGATAGTGGGGTACCTGGGGGGCTCAGTGGGTTGAGCCTCTGCCTTTGGCTTGGGTTGTGATCTCAGGGTCCTGGGATCGAGCCCCACATCGGGCTCTCTGCTCAGCGGGGAGCCTGCTTCCTCCTCTCTCTCTGCCTGCATCTCTGCCTGCTTGTGATCTCTGTCTGTCAAATAAATAAAATCTTAAAGAAAAAAAAAGGAATAGGAGATAGTATTGCACTATGGGTTTGTGAAGGTAGAAATGACAGACCTCAACTATGTGTACTTGGGCAAATCAGCTTCTCTAAGGCTCATTTTCTCTCCATAAAACAGGAATAATAATAGCACTTCATAGAGTTCATGTGATGGTGAAATGAAATGACACATACAGAGCATTTCCCAATAGTACTTAGCACATACTAAGCATTTAATGAATGTAAGCAGCTGCTGCTGCTGTAAATGAATGAGAGAGGAAACTATATTAATCAAAATTGCATACTGGGGCAGAAACTCAGGGTTATGATGGCACTGAGTAGAAATGGGAGCTCTATAAATTCACAGCTTCTGTTAATCAACCTGGGGAGAAACTAGACTTTCTTCACTGAATAATAGTTGGAAGATGAGTTGGGAGTGGGATGGGGCCTGGATAGTGGAGCTATTAGAAAAGTATCCCTAACACCTCATATAATTTGGAAGAAGGTTGAGTGGATGTAGGGTGAGCAGATGATGGAAGATTGAAAAGTTCTGAAAAATAAAGGTGGAGTTGGTCTGAAGTTTGGTGGCCAAAATGTTGGTCTAGCTGCTGGTATAAAGCTCTAAAATTGAGCAGAGTAGACCCCCCAAGGGTTGTTTTCAAGTCTTGAATTTGACGTGTAGTGTGACTAAAAGCATAATTGGCCATGAATAGTTGAATGGTATGCCAGACACTTCAGATAGTGCTTCAGCCACTCTAATGAGGACGGCCCAGTGAGCTGTGTTGCTAAAAGTATGGATTCTGGAGCTTCAACAGGTGTAGTAATTACGAATTGAAACTTTTATATGTGGAGGAAGAGAGAAGGAAAAGAAAAGGTGACTCTTGTAAGAGTAGAAATTATGAGATATTCGTAGAGGGGAGTAGAGAGTTGGGGTGTTCACCACACATAAGAAAAATGCTTTGCTTTAAGAGAGAAAGGACAAAGAATATTGAATGTGTCTTTACACAAGATGGGGTCTATACGGTCTGTATAAAGTGTACTTTCAACCAGAAAGTGTACTTCCAATCAGAAAGTGTACTTTCAACCAACGTTTTTTAAGATGGGGGAGCATACTGAAAATTGAAGAATATATGTAAATACTGCCAATCCCACGCAAAGGATTAGAGGACCACAAAATATGAAAGGACCATCAGAGATCATTTCTAGTCCAATATTGTCATTGGATTAGATGAGGAAACTGAGGCAGAGAGATATAGAGTAACCTACCCAAAGTCACACACATATATCTGGTTCAATTCTCTCCATATCTTGTTTTAGCTCTCTTACCCCAAAATTTGAGGAGCCCTTAATCTCGTTGTTTCCCGTCTGGATAAGATCAGGAAGAAAATTCTGGTTTTGTTTTGTGGCGGCTTCTGAGGGAAACAAACAAGTTCCCTTTAAACGCATCCTCTCTTCTCCCCATCTGGCAGGTTTGATATGCCCACCGTGTTTTTCCATTGGCCATTTTGTGTGGTTCCTTGCGGCCTTCCAGGATTCCCAACCAATCAACTCCTCCCTTTCTCACTTGGGCGGGGCTTTGAGGAATGTACCATATGGACCGTGCGGGGGGATAGAGAGGAGGAAGGGAGTGGCGACAGCCTATTTCTTTACCTTTTGCATATACCATTGAGATTCTGGCAAAGCCTGAGTCTGCAGGTAGCAACAGCGCCCTGAGGACGGGAACCACGTGCCAGTTTCAGAGGCGCACTTAGATCTGTTGCCCCCGAGACTGGGGTCCTATGGCTAGGGCTGAAGGGCCGCAGCCCCCGCCCTCCCATGTGCCCGCCCAGCCACCGGCGGCGGCGCCGCTGCTTCAGCTGCGGCCGCTGCTGTTGCCCGCGCTGACGGTGCGGCTGGCGCGCGGGGGCTGTGGCGCTGCGGGGCTGCGCGCCCGGAGCGGGGCTTGGGGGCCCGGGCCGGCCAGGGGACGCTGGCGCCGGGGGACACACCAGCATGAGGCGGAGGTGAGGACCGGGGTTCGAGACCTAGACCGGCCCCAACCGTTCCGTGGGGGCCGCATCCCACCCGCGCCCTGAGCGCAGGGTTTCCGGGGCCCCCAAGGGTGACTCCAGAGACGGCGAGAGCCGCGACCAGACCTGTGGCTGAAGACCTTACCCGGGGCAGCCGGGAGGGCTGGGGACCCGCCGTGGGCGCTTGGCGCCTCCTTCTGGCGGCCCCTTCGAGCCCTTTTCCTAGCGGGGCGGCGGAGTGAACGAGGAAGCCCCTCCTCGCGCTTCTCCGGCTCTCCAGACCCGTGTCCTTGACCTGCAGGAGTTGGATGTTCGGTCAAGTGCGGCCGCGCGTGCCCAGGAGTTCCAGGGGAGGCTAGCACTGGGGGAGGCCAGGGGATTGGGGAGGCTTCCAGCGTCTTGTGGGAGTGGGAAGGAGAGTGGCTGGGACTGAGTGTTCTGAGGAAGCTTTGGGGGCGGGGGCGAAGATCTCTTATCTAAACCCGGGGGGGGGGGGCCCCGAGGCTTGGGGATGGGGTGCGTCCTGCCCTGGCGCCCAGGCCCAGCCTCCGGGCCATTGGCCTTCCACTCGAGCTGGGGTATGGGACTCCTCTGTTGCACCGTGGCCAGGCGAGCGCTGGCTTCCAGGGGGGTAGATCCTGTCTTGATCTGGAGTCTAACAGAGGCTGAGTGTGGATTGCTGGGTCTCTCTGGGCAGGTGGCCATGAGAACCACGAAGTGCTTTTTGCCTTTTGTTTTCTTAGGGTAGTGGTGGACTGGGTGAGATGATGGCAGCCACATACGTCACTTATCTATGAGCCATCCCCCCCTTGCCTAACTGCCTTACAAGGTGATAGTGTTATTGGAGGTCTGTGTGGTACAACTGTAAATTCCTGGTTTAAAAACCACCTCGAGGAGCCCTTACACACATCAGAGACTTGCCTTGTGTTAGCAGAAAGCCAGACGTAGTGATAGCCTTTGCAGGTTCTGGCATGGATGGTAAACTAGTCATCACAATTCTTTGTTGGGCCCCTCAGGCGAGGCCTCTACCTCATCCCATTAAGGGGCATGGATTAGCCCTATGTCTTCGCTGGTTTTTTCTCCGGAGGTTTAATTCAGGGAAAGCGTTTCCAAGAATGCATGCAGATCACAGTTACATTCTTTTAATGTTTGGTGTTTAACACAGACATTAATTAAGGTTAACCTGAAGTGCGTTAAGGCAGAGAATTGTGAAAAGTATCTTTTTAAAATAAGGCTTATTATTACTTTATTCTTTTTTTAGTGGGTTGTAGATGGAGAGAATGGCATTTAAACATCAGAACATCAGTATTTGGTCCCATTTGACAGTTTACTGTGTGGACAATCATGTAGGATGATGGTTTGTACCCCAAGGGTGAGAATGAGTTGGGTTTTATAGTGAGAAAGGTATCTTATTTTGCATTGTTGCTGCCGGCAGGGAGGCTTTGCCCTCTCATTACCTGGCCACCCAGATGCCAATTCATTATTGTGGTTGCTTTCTCCCCGTGAGCACACCTGTAAAGAGCCGGAAGAGAATAGTATACATTCTGGGTTTGATTGTCAAATGTACTCTCAGATCAGAAATTTGGCTCAGATTGTTTTAGCCCTTAGTGAATTCTTATTGTGCTCTATGTTTTAAACATTTTTGAGCTTTTTTTGATAGTATATTATATATTCCTATATTCCAGAATTATAGGAAAAACGTGGTTTGAGTATTCCTCTTGCAAACAATCTTTAGGAATGTGGACCTGGTTCCTATCCAATTTACAGATAAGGAACTAGGGTTTGGTAGGACCCTAAGTCGAAGGAGTGAGAACAAGGCTGGTACTCAAACCTGGGCTGTCAGATCTCGAAGTGTGTGCTCTTAAATCCCAAGCTTTAGTGGTGACTAAAGGGCAGATGTCAGTCCCTAACTCTTGTTGCTGGTGCCTCCCTGGGGCCTGATGGCACTGTGATTGTACTGGGCCTTTATTTTTCATTGACGTAAAGTTTTCACACCCTGGAATTTTTCTCAAGCCAGGGGCATTCTTCTAGCCAGATGTAGGGTCGTTACTTTAGAAAAAATATTCAGAGCCGAAAAGGCATCTATATTTGGAGAGTAGGAAGTACTTAATAAGACCAGAAGGTAAGAATAGGGACAGAGAGAATCAAGGTGGTTTGTGGGCAGGAAATTTGTGATTTTCTAACCCCGGGGATATCTTTAGTACCCAGGCTTTTTAAACTTAGGCTGTGCATTGAAATTGTAAACTTGGAGACAGGGCAGCACTGGGCTAAAATCTGTGTAGTAAGGCTCTCAGTTTCTCGTTTAGATGGCAAAGTTGAAATTCTGATTCCTTTCCAGGCTTTAGCTTCTACAAATAATGCAGTAAGTTATGGGAATGATGGGGATATTGTTTGGAAATTCACCTAAACTCTTTGTGGACTTCCCCTTCCTTTCATGCTTCCCTAGCCCATCTTCAGTTCCACTTTTTCAGAATTCAGCTCTGATCCTGTGGAGTTGGAATGGTGGACGGTGTCAGGCTCTGCGATGCTTGGGATATACCAGTGGATAGAACATCCCTACCCCCGTGGCCTCTGCTGTACATGACTTGCTGTTGTCATGGTTTGGGCTTTAGCTGTCTTTGGATAAAAACTGGGGATGGAGGACAGGGAAACCATCACTACAAACCCTGCAATTCATTGACTTGTCATTGTGGAGTCAGAATTTCACAGAGAAAACTGCCAACTGCCACAATTTACAGAAAATGAACAGTGGTGATAATCAGATTACTAGAAGGGTGGTGAAGTAGGACTATTGGTTTGTACCTTGCTGAAAGGGAGAAGAAAGGCAGGAGTTTCTGGTAAGTATTAAGTTTTGTGATAAGAACAGCTGGGTCTCCCTGCATCCCTCTTGCATGGCTTGCTCAGTGTCTATCACAAGAAAGGAGAAACGAGCATGTCTTGGTGTGTGAATGGAAGCCAGGAAAGGAGTCTTTCTGCATTAGATAGGTCTACAGAGGTCTGTTTAATTGTATCTCCAATGAAGGATCTGGTTTGGTTAACTCTGGAAGGAGAGAGACAGCGAGTGGTTAACTAGTAGCTTTTATTGACTTCTTTACTATTTTAAATAATAACTAAAAGGCAGAGTGAAACTTTAGTCCCAGCCTTGTCCTCTCTTCTTTCCTGCTTCTTTTCCGTTGTTGATTTACATAAGTATGGAGGAAGGCTGAGTTTGGGGAGTTCTTCTCTATGTCATTGTTGGAACCTGAGAAGAGAGGAGGGGCCGAGTAACCATCCGAGGGAAGATCAAGAGTAGCAATACTTCTAGCTTCTGTAGCTCCTCTGGATTACACAACAAACCTTCAGCACAAACTGCTCCCAGCCTACAAAACTCTGACTTGTGAAGGTCCCAGCTGCACTCTTCCCTGTCTTCCCCCCAAGCTTCACCCACCTTCACCACCAAAGCCGCCTTCGATTGAGAATTGTTGGGTTTGTGAGTGGAAAAGGAAAAGAAGCGGGGAGAGTAACACAAGGATGATAATGACGTTAGCACTGGTAGCAGCAGCAGACACTTAGAGACAATTGACTGTGTACCAGGCTCTGCGTGGATGAACTCATTCAGTCCTCATAGCAGCCGTGGATGGTAGGTGCTGTTCCAATCCCGGCTTTCTGCATGAGGAATTCAAGGCCCAGGGAGTAGTGACTTACTGAATGTCTCACTTAGTGGTGGAGACGGACTGCGGACTTAGGTATTTGGTTCCAGATTTGTGCTCTCATGGACCAGTTAAGGGCAGCTGACTTGGGTAAACTTGTACCTAAAAGAGTTTTCTCTGGCCTGAAGGTTGCCTTTCCTCTCTTACAACCTCCCTTCCATTTTTACATTTAACCCCCTCTTTATTGATCTGAAATGCTATAGGAGAGATGCATTTAGGTTAAGTGGTATATTCCTTTAAAATTGGGACAGAGACAGAGAAGGTAATTCTGAATCATGTAGAGGGGCCTAGGTGGGCTTCCAAAAAGGATACCTAAGACAGTGTACAGAGACTTCAGGGACCCAGAGGCTGGACCATGGGATCTAGAAAGAGTACTCATTATAGCACTGCTCCCAGAAAAGATGAGGAACCTTTCCTTTCCCGCCTCTACCTTTTTGCTTGGCATGGGTTGCTGATTCCCAAGACCTAGAACGTGAGCAAATCCTCTCATTGCCCTAGCTCAACTACTTTATGGATGATTTTAGTTTCATTTTCTTACTTAATTAAATAAACTAGTCTTGGGTCCTCATCATGTTTGGAACAGAACCTTTTACCCAGTTTGGTCATAACTGGTCAGGGTCATTTATTTCCCTGTGAAAAAGGAAAAGGGAAGTATTGTGACTAGTGGCAAGGACATGTGTCATTTTGTTTCCAAACAGGTTTTTCTCAAAACCAGACTTGCAGAGGAAGGGGGAAAAAAATCAACCCCTGCCTTTGGCATTTTAAGCATCTTTAGACAAGTGAGTCCTGTGGACAGTTAGGTAGTAATACTTACTGAGTGTTACTGTGGGCCAGATACTGTGCCAAATGCTTTAATACACACACACATCATATCTAGTCTTCAGGTAGACATTCCTATTTTATCATAGGAAAAATGTTCCAGAGAGGGTAAGGTCCATAAACCCAGTAACTTGCAGAGGCTTGATGACTCTGAATCACCTCGTCAGAAGGAGCGAAAGGAAGAGAAAATGGGGAAGAAAAAGACAGTATTGGGCAGGGGAAAGAAATTCACAAGATGGCAACATGAATCAGCCTCCAGTATTTACTGTATATCTCAATGTACAGTAGGTGTACTGGGTAGGGCACCAAGAAGCCTATGGACTCCAACCACCCTTGGGGAGCCAGGGAACAAAGAAGTTTCAGAACCTAAGAGTATTAGGTTACACGCTGGGACTTGGTTTTAGTATGGATTTATTGAGTGAGTACTATATAATAAAGCAAGTGCCAGGTACTAAAACAATGTCTACCTCTGAGAGGTCACCAGAT